CTACCCCCCTATCTCTCGCCGCTCACAAACACAACCGTGCGCGATGGCGCCCGGCAGCGTCGCCGGCCCCCGGTCGCCGGCCATGCTCCTGATCCTGGCGCTGGCCATGCTCCTGGGGCTGGGCCTGCCCGGGGGACGGCTGGCCCGAGCAAACATCGGGTCCGTGCCGCTGGCCATGGTCCGGGCGCCGCTGCCGCTGGACCGGGCCGACGCGGCCCTGGCCATGGTCAACATGCGCGAGCGCGGGGCCGTGGCCATCACCCGGCGCCCCGACACCTCCTTCGTCCGGATCGAGTCGATGCAGGCGTCGATGGCGCACGCGGTCGATGAGCGCCTCGGGGCGTACTTCGACACGGCGGCCGCCGTCAGCGAGGCCGCCCTGACGGCCGGCACCTCGGACCTGCCGCCCGGGTTCGCCCTGCGAGCGCTGGTCTGCGACAGCGGCGAGGTCGCCCTGCTGGCTGGCTACCCGCAGGCCATGTACCTGCTCCGGCCGCAGGGCCCGCACCAGGTGCACACCTTCCTCCAGCCGGTGGAGGTCCTGCTGGCCTTCTGCCTGAATGCGGCCACCCATCGCATCCTCGTGCGCGATGGCGGCACCCTGCTGCTGCTGGCGTTCTCGCCGTCGCCGAGCATCAGCTTCCTGGACCTCGGCGGCATGAGCGTGGTGCCCGGCATGCGGGCCGCCCGCGGCTATGGGACCTCGGTGCACCTGTGGAACCGCACGCACTACCACCACGGCCAGCTGGTTGTGTCCATATTCTCCGGCTTCGCCGGGTCCTTCCCGGGCCCGGTGGCCCTGCCGGGCCTGGTGGACATGGCTGTCACGCGCGCGCGCGCCGGGTCCCAGGGGGATCTGCTGATCCTGCGCGATGATGGCGACCGGTGGGTGCTGTGCGGCCCGCCGTCGCCGGGGGCCGAGCCGACCCTGCTCGGGTGCCTGGAGCTGGCGGCCCTCGTGGAGGTTGGGGCCCAGCGCCGGGGGCACTTCCTGGCCGTCGGCCCGGCCGAGAGCCACGACCCGGTGCCGGTGGCCTACTTCGTGCCGGATGCCGGGGCGCCCCTGCGGGTGGCCCTGCTGGACGTGCCGGCCACCGTCCGGCCGCTGGTCATGCCGCCGCCGGAGCCCGGGGCCCCGGCCGAGGAGTTCCGCCTGCTGGGCCTGGTCCCCGCGTACGGGGCCCCGGTGGCGTGGACCCTGGCCGGGCGCCATGTGTACCTGGAGGCCGGGGGCTTTTGCGCCGGCGACCCGACGGTCGAGTGCGCGGACCCGAGCGCCGTGGACCCCCCGGCCCGGGGCTGGCGCTGTGCCCCCGGCCGGGCCGTCGCCTACTTCCGGACCGGCAGCCTGCCGCGCCTGTGTGATGCGTGTGCGGCGGGCTTCGGCCGGGCCGAGGCCCCGGACCCGCGCCCGCCGCCCGTGCCGCTGCCCCCGCTGCCCCTCCCGCTGCCGGTGCCGCCCAGCCTGGACGTCAGCATTATTGGAGGTGCGTGCCCGAGTGGCGGCGGCGGCGGCGCTGCGGCGGGCGCCCGGCGCCCGGGCCCTGCGCGAGCGCGTCGCACGCACATACGCCTCCATATGTGTCTGTGTGTATCTCTCTGCGCGCGCGTGGGCAATGCCACCGGCCACCCGCCTCGCCCGGCTGCCCGAAGCACGACTGACGCCCGCGCCCCCCCTCCCCCACGCACATGAACACCCCGGTGGCCCGGCCCTCGTCCCAGCCGGCAGCATGGACACCCTCGCCGCCGCCGCCGCCATGTGCTCGCCCTGTGACGACACGGGCGCCTGCCTGTCCTGCCTCGAGGGCAACTGCATGGCCTGCCGCGAGCCGGACCTCCTGCTGGTGGACCCGGGGTCCGGGCTGGGCCGCTGTGTGGGCGCCTGCCCGGCCGGCTACCTGCCCGAGGGGGGCCTGTGCATGGAGGGCGCCGCGGAGGCGGCCATGCGGATGGCGGCCCAGGCCGACCGGCTGACCGGCCTCCCGGCCGAGGACCAGGTCCAGGCCCTGGGGGCCACCTGGCTGCAGGTATCCGACGCGGCCGGCGGGCTGTTCCTGCCGCCGGCCGCCGGGGCCGCGGGGATCCCCTTCGATCCGGCGGCCAAGCGGTCGACCTTCCTGGGGTTCCGACCGCCGGGCCGGGCGCCGGTGTACCTGCGCCACAGCGGGCCGGCCGCGGTGGCGGCCATCCCCCTGGCGCCCGGCGGGCCCTTCGACGCCGGCTGGGACGTGCGGGCCTATGTGGAGCTCGGCGCCCCGGCCGGGGTGCTGCCCTCCGGGCATCTGGCCCTCGTGGGGCTGGTCTGCCTGCCGACCGGCGTCGGGGTGCTGAAGTTCGAGTGCGCCCCCGGGGCCGGGCCCTGGCCGGACCCGAACCAGCCCTGCCCGGCGGCCGCGTCGCTGACCATGCTGCCGGGCATGCCCTGCGGCTCGGCCCGGCAGCTGGACGCCCGGTCGGTCGGCACCCAGGCCCCGATGGCCGGCCCGGCCGACGGGGTCCACGCCGGCGGCCTGGTGCGCCTCGGGCCGGATGGCAGCCCGCAGGCGGCGGGCCAGCCGCCGGGGGCCGGGCTGCCGGCGGTCGTGCCGGCCCCGGCCGACGGGGCCTTCCTCCTGCAGACGCCGGCCGGCCGGGCGGACCTCCTGCCCATGGGCCTGGCCATGAGCCGGTCGGCGGGGTCCGGCGGGCTGCCCTTCCCGGCGGCGGTCCACACCGGCGGCGCCAGCGGCACCGGGCCACACTTCGAGGCGCTGCACCTGCCGACCCCCTGGCGCGGGGCCACCCACCCGGGGGAGGTGTTCCTCTCGCGCCTGCGCCACCCCCCGGGCGGCGGGCACTCCGTGTGGGAGGCCCTGCACCTGCCGGCCGGCATGATGCCCCACGGCCGGACCGACGGCCTGGCCCCCCTCGCCAGCCAGGTGGCCCGGCTGCCGGACCTGTCGGGCCACACCGGGGCCGCCGGCCCGCGCGCCGTGGTCCTGGCCACCGGCAGCCCGCAGCTGCCCGGCTTCCTGGCCCTCCTGTCCCCGGGCCGGGTGGACATGGCGCCGGTCAGGTGCTACGGCCCGGCCGGCGCCGGGCACTGTCTCCTGCGCCCGGCGGCCGGGGTGCACCTGCCGGCGCCGGGGCTGGCCTGGCCCGAGCGCGTGGCCCTGCTGCCGGGCTTCGCGCAGCCGGCCGCCGGGCCCGGCACCGCGGCCCTGCCAGCCGTCCGCGCCGGTGCCCGCGCCCCCTCGCACCCGGCCACCAGCGAGACCTTCACCTTCCTGGCGGTGCTGGACGGGGCGGCCGTCTGGCGCGTGGACCTGACCATGGAGGCATGCCCGGCGGGCGGGGCCCCGCCCGCGTGCCTGCCCTGCCACGAGGCGTGCGTCGGGTGCTCCGGGCCGGCGGCCGACCAGTGCCTGGCCTGCCGGCACTTCCTGCCCGACGCGCCGGGCGCCTGCCTGGCAAGCTGCCCGGAGGGGCTCTTCCCGGACCCGGCCGGCGACGGGGCCTGCCGGTGCCATGTCTCCTGCGCGGCCTGCTCGCCGGCGGCCCCGGGCGGCGGGGCCTTCGCGTGCACCGCCTGCGCCGATGGCCACGCCCCGACCGGGGTCCCCGGCGATGCCGAGTGCGCCGCCTGCCATGGGGCCTGCCTGGCCTGCTCGCGCCCTGGCGACCCGGCCGCCTGCACGGCCTGCCCGCCGGGCACCCTGCTCCATGAGGGCGCCTGCGTGGGGTCCTGCCCGCCGGGCACCTGGGCCCGTGGCTCGGAGTGCTGGCCCTGCGGCCCGGCATGCGCCCAGTGCGACCCGGCCGGCCGGTGTGTCCAGTGCGATGACGGCTTCTTCGTTTATATCAGCGGCGCCTGCCGGCCGTGCGACGCCTCCTGCCAGGGATGCCTGCACGGGGCCGGCTGCGTGGCCTGCCGGCCGGGGCTGGTCTTCCTGTCGGCCGATCCGCAGCAGCCATCCCTCTGCGGCGGCACCTGCGCCCCGGGCGAGTATGTCGGGGCTGGCCGGTGCGCCGCGTGCGATGGGTCGTGTGAGCTGTGCGCCGGCGGGCCGGACCGGTGCCAG